TTTCAAGTTTAGATTCAACACAGTAGATGTGAACAGCACTCACACATATTTGTATACCAGAAAGTTATAACTTTGCAAAAGACTCCATAATAAGTATCAGCTACGCATTCCCTTTGAACTATATTCTCATATATTAACACAGTTTTATGAGTGTGCCTCGCTAAATTTCTATGTTTAAAATAACTTATTTCGATGAAGTGAAGCAGTGTTAATATATATCATATCAACAGCTTATAATAGTCCACTACTGGACATAGGCCTCTCCTTAAAATGGTTTTGGCCTACTACACCACGCTGGCCAGACGGGTTGGTATAGGGTTTGTGTCAAGTTTTCCTTCTTGCAGTGCTGTTGACCCGCGTATTTGCTTCCTTGATCGGCTCTTACGACATCCACGGGATGAATAGGGGTGTTGACATTCCGTATTCTTAATCTGTCACCACACTGATAATCTATAAGTACTTATATTATTAAGAGGTAAAGTTTGTGATTTTGTATGTTCGAGGTAATCTCCGATACTGCCGATCCGATTTTGAAAATTCTTTCACTGTTAGAAAGGTATATTATCCCTCAGATAGCACCCACCAATGGTTGTGTCAGACTTGAATCGACTTAAAAATCGCACGCCGTCTCAGGTGCCAATAGCCAGGGAACCAGGACCTAGGAAGGAAACTCCTAGTACCTGGACTACTTCTTACCGGGATAACCGACAAACACGCGGGCGGAGCAGCGGTCAAACGCTAGTCTCTAATACTTTGCTTAATTATTCCAAAATTGACTTGCCCAGTTGATGTCCCAATCCATCCTAGTAATCTAATTGCAGGACGTACAGGTGCGGTCTCTTTAGGCTACCATAGTCTCAGCCTCGTTTCCCGACCGGGCCTTGAAGTATCCTTTGCCCTAGTTCCGCCTTACCCGTTTTTCTTATCCCAATTTACCTTCTATGTTAGGCAGACAGCCGGCCATAATAGAACAAGCCATAAACTTTTGCAATGTTGCACTTTGCACCCAAATAATCTTGAGAAAAGAGTAGGATGATTATAACTATGTCAAAAACTTTATAACTGTATTTTTTGCATTGTAATTTTTTCAACCTACAATAATTCAAATTGTTCACATTTATGTTAGACTATTCGCAACATAGTCGAAGATTGATAACCTAAATATTTCCACACGTCACAAAACAGGACTTTAAAGTAACATTCAATATAAATATAGCTATGACAAATAGTTTCCAGTAAATGAATAATATCTGTCCTCACAAAACAGAAATCAAAACACACAAGCTTATTTCATTTTGAAAATTATTTCGCAAATCAAAAACATTTATTAGGAGATAAATAAAATAAAAAAGCTGATTCAAATACACCTAAATAGGTGAATGCAATTGGTCACTCTTAACAAAATACGTAAGAAGAATTCCGTTAAAAGCCGATAAGACAACACAGAGCAGCGTGGGAAGATGAATCATCCGCTGATGTCACCGCCGATGACAAAATTAACTTTGTTAACGTCGATAAAGTGGCGATTTACGATGGTTGGATATTTATTTGCAACTTTACTTAATCGATTTAAGAGTTCAATTTACAAAAAAGTATTACAGGTAATCTGAATGAGTGCAACTAATATACAGTATTTAAACATTACCCATACTACGTAACGTAGATCGAGTTTTTGTCACGCCAAAACCTGTTTACGATCACATTTCTACGTCATCTGATCGACAGGGGTCGTGACAAAAGCCAATACAATCATTCAAACAAAACACCATAACAAGCCGTTTGTGTGCAAATCATACATCGTGGAGCAACGTAACCGAAGAAAAATAAGTGTGAAAATAAAAAAAAAGTGGCAGCTGGGTTTGGCACTGCATTGTGCGTGCGCATGATGCGTTTTAGTAACGTGCGTGAACTGTACCGATCGTGAGTTGCGCACGGGCAGCGTGTGTCCGGAGTCGCCAGCGCCCTCGCCCTCGGCGCTCTCCCGCAGAAAGCCTCCGTCGTCCGACGACGAGCCCGATGGGTCCTTCGCGGCCATGTCAAACAATCACGTGCCAATGATACATACATGACAAAACTTGGTGCAACACTTACTGAATGTCCCGCCGCTTCGTACTCCGTCTGTGCCATTTATTACAGTCGTTAGCCACAAACGTGCGTCCCTAATGGACTTCAGTTGAAAGTGAAACTGAAATGCTTGCACAGTTGTGTAGAAAATCGATGCGACCGGTGTCCGGCGTACGTCAGACGTACCCATACAAGTTGGAAGGTCGTCTGTTCATCAATCATAGTGAAGGCGAAGGGTGAGCACGCGAATATCGGCTGACGAGTTCGTAATCATAAATATATTCATTTCCAGTACATGTCTTTCAGTTACTACTTTCCTGTGTTTACCTACATCTAAATGGTGTCGTAGTAACACAGCGGCGTGCTAACAAACAGCGTCGCCGTAGCAACAGTGCAATTTAAATGATATAGTAATTATTCGTCAAACGATGATCGCTACCGTGCCAGTAACAAATACCTGCCAACTGATGATGAATGGGAACATGTCTACATTTTCTTCTGCGAATGTGCGACAGCCTTAAAACAAGTGAATTTAATTCCACACATCGACTCGTATATGTACACACTTCACACAACCTTTATTCGAAAATCCGGTATCGTTAAATGAACGTATTGAAGAAGATCATGATGACAATGCTGACAGTTTGATACAGGTTTAAAAGGCAGGGCACACATTCGCCTAACGCGGATATGTCGGGGCAACTGTACCGCGTCGTCTATTAGCAACAGTTCTTCGCAACCCAAACAATGAGAGTGATCGGAGCTTGGTACGCAATTCGGACGCCCTTACTAATCGATAAAACTAACTAAAGCTCAGTGTTATCGCTTAAATTAAGAATCGATTACAGCCAAACAAACTGCTAGCGAAAGCAAGCAAATGGTGACTGCAGGCTTTCTGCACAAATTAGGTGTCGATTTGACCTTTCTTGTTACCGCGAAAAATTGCTTAAAGGTCTGCTTATAAAGAATTTCCCTCACGTAACTTTACAGTATAATCTAAAATAAGTGAAACACTCCGTAAAAGTACAGTAATGTAAGTTATGTGTAATGTCAAATTGATTAAGAGCGTGAAGGTTTGAAAGATCTTGTGACAAAAATTTAGAATTTAATGCTTGCATGGTTTATGCATGTTGAAATGTGAGTGAAGATGGAATAAATAAAATATTTATAAAGCTTCTCATGTATCGTCAACGATACCACTCAACCACACCACTGGGGTGTCGTTTACAACGTACACTACGCCGACTAGTGATGTACAACATGAAATAAAACAATTTGTTACGTGTTAGTTGTTAATGTTAATTTTGAAATTGTCGAGTTCACAATAAAACATAACAATTGTTTCCATTACAACAAAAACAACTAAATTAATTTATAAAACTTGATCCGATAATAATTTTACAATAATTATTCATTTTTTTTAACCGTATCTTTGTTTCACTTAATCTGCTATCTTCCAAGCCACTTCTGGAAACTTTTGCAAAAAACTTTTTTAAGTGCTCATCATCTTACGAATGAAAAGTAATTGATATCGATAAATGCTTAAGTTTTGTTTTAGAACTTCATAGAGGTGGTGTCGTTAACAAAAAAAATTGTAAACGACACCCCAGTGGTGTGGTTCAGTGGTGTCGTTTACAATACACGAAGCTCCTTGTGAGTGAGTGGGCGAAAGTCGTACTGACCAGATAAGCAGTATACTGACGTACACTGGCGAGGGTGTGAGAAGGGTCTAATGAATGTGGAAGAGTCGCGAGATGTATGTCAGAATCATGGCAAATGGCGCTTCATCGCCAGACTGTAGCTACCCTGAATGTGGCGTGAGTATATATATGTATGTTTGTATGTACCTAGTATGTAAAAATAATACATGTGTTGTAATAGTTAAAGTAAAAAATACATCCTAGTCGCAGTCAAGAAATGCCAAACATTATACAATAACAATTTTCCCACCAAATTTCTAATTAGGTACCCGGTTGACGGCAATAGGCTTGAACTATGAACGGTATTACAATTTTAGTCGGCCAAAAGTGAGAAATACGCTCCTACTTACCCCTACGGGTATAGAGGCGTGAGTGCATGATGATGATAATATATATAATTATATCTTACAAATTTTTATCTAAAAGTTTGCGGAACATTATGAGCAGACCTTAACTGGCACATTTTTTACAATGAAGTTTACATTACATTTACACGGCTAAAACAAATTAGACCATTGAAAGCAAGGCTGGCTGAGCTGCATTACCTACATGTTTATGTATAAATGCTGTTAATATTAATTTCAAAACATTCATGATGCAACGTTCAAATCATTAATTTGTACACACAATGGAATGAAATCATTATGTCGTATTATGGGCAATGAAAACTACGATTGTGAATATTTAATCTGGCTATTTCGTTTGTGATCAAACGATTGACAATCTCCAGATTGAAAGTATATTTTATTACTTCTAGTTCGAACCTAGGTATTTCTAGTCGAAAGTAAAATAGACTTACATAAATACAAAGTTATGTAAACAGAAAATCTCAAAATTCCACATATCAGCTGGGGTAAGTACAAACTTCTACAAAATATAATCATTCTCACAGATGATTTTTAAAGCAAAGAATTGTGATTCAACCTAATTTCTATCTTATATTGCTTATTTCAAATTAGTTATTATTAATATACAAAATATAAGATATTTACATTAACTTAACTTCGTATCCTTAATCTGAAGATTTTTTATCTGTTCTACGATTGTCATTACATCTTAATAATTTTCTTTGTATTAAATCTATTTTGTATTAAAATCATCGCCCATAAATACTACAATTTAACAAGACCATACCAAGCATTGTCACTAAAATCGATCACGCTTGACGAATATTTTCAAACTAAATCTATGATCCCGACTTAAGAGTACTAGTCACTCAGGAATGCTGACACTCACTCTAGCTAATTTGTTAGGCATCGGCTGCAGATGAGGCGTGTGGTGCCTCGTTCCAGCGAGCTCCGGGTTGAGGGCAAGAATGGCGTCGATTTCCACCTCCTTGCCCTTCGTCTCGCCGCGCTCGTACCATTCTACTGTCACCGACCTCGTATCCAAGTTGACCCCGGAGACGATCGCCGAATGGATTCGTCCTGAAAATCCACAAAGTTAGAAGTTATTACAAGATTTAAAAAACGCGAAGTAAATACAAGTAGCTTAGGTGCAAAAGGTCGACCTAGCAGCAGAAGTTTTTTATTAGAAATCTTATGCATATTTCTTATATCTAGCCTAGGAGCGAAGTTCCGTTCTAAAATAGTTAATTATACTTAATCTTTAATATCTATGTAGATGCATACATTGCATCGCAGAAGCATTTTAAATTTCTAAAATATTATAATGCAAATAAGATGATGATGGTGATGACATGGATGATAAAAGTATTAATGTCCTGTTGCTGCTATTGTCATTAAATAAATGAAATAACCATTACAAGTAAAAATCTAAAAATCTGTCTATATTGGTATTAAGTCATCATCATCAACAGCCTTTAGTAGTCCACTGCTGGACATAGACCTCTAATTAGAAAGAAAGTTTAAGCCTCTTATAACACGCTGGCCAGGCGGGTTGTTATAGGGTTGGTGTCAAGTTCCGGAACTCTCCCATGGGATTTGGAGGCGGAAGTGCTAGCCGAAGTTTATCGGCGAGTGGCTGACTCCCGGGCGGAGAGCGGATTTCGCCCCCCCGCCCGAAGATGTGCGCGAGTGGCGCGAAGCCGCTCGCCGAGCCACGATGGCTCGTTGGTCGTTCCGGCTGGAGACTCCACGCGCTGGCTTCGCCGCCGTGGAGGCTCTCCAGCCGGTCATCGCCGAGTGGGCAGGGCGGCAGCACGGGACCCTTACCTTCCGGCTGACGCAGGTGCTTTCCGGGCACGGTTGTTTCGGAAAGTACCTGCACTCGGTCGCTAGGAGGGAACTGAGTCCCGCCTGCCACCACTGCGACTGCAGTGAGGACTCGGCCCAGCACACGCTGGCGGTCTGCCCCGCATGGGCGACGCAGCACCGGGCCCTCACTGCAGTCATCGGAGTGGATCTCTCGCTACCGGCCGTAGTACGCTCCATGACCGGTAGCGACAGTTGTTTTAAAGCGGTCGCAACCTTCTGCGAGGAAGTAATCTCGCAGAAGGAGGCGGCGGAGAAGGCCCGGGAGGACGACCTCCACTCGGAACCGATCCGCCGCCGGCGAACCGGGCGGCGGAGGCGCGCCTATCACCGCCTCATGCCGCCCTGAGTGTGGCCGCGGGTGGACAGGGTGGGTTTCCCCTCCACCCGCATTAGTTTGGCCAGCCGCGAGGGGGCGGCGTCCGCGTGTGCCGGACGTCGCCTAAAGAGAGGAACAAGTTTGAGACGGGGCCCGCAACTGTAGCGGGCTGGCGCTAGGAGGGGTCCGGATGTCTTAATAACAGCTGTTCCCGGATCCCTCCTATTACAGGCGCAGAGTGGCACACCGTGTGGTTTTAGTCGGTCCGAGTCCGACACACCACCCCGCCGCAAACCCCGGTGGGGTGACGGTCCGAGGGGATTTCCACACGTTAAAAAAAAAAAAAAAAAAGGAATTGTGTCAAGTTTTCCTGCTCTTTGCAGTGCTGTTAGTTTTGTTCCTGCTTAGTTTGTTTCCTTAGTCGGCTTACGACACCCACGGGATGAATAGGGGTGGCGACAATTGTATTTGTTATTGTATAATATTAACTAATACTTGAAATTGAAGTTGACAAAACGAAAATAGTGAAATTAAGTGAAAGTGAAATTTTCCTTTAACGAAAAACTAAGATAATGGTAAAAATAAATGCCTCTGTATCAAATGTGATTTTGTGCAAATTTATCCAACAATGAACACGTAGTGCAACACTTGTCGATGCAGCACTAGAGATCGCCTAGCATTGGAATTTTGAGCGTTTTTGAATGTTTGTTTTATTTAATTTCATTTCTTGACTTAAAATATGTACTACATAGACACTATTTATTTATATACACATAAACACACATATGTATTATATGTATAAATACTATTTTCTCTTTTTTATGACTGTATGCATTTATTTAAATAAATCTCCATAAAGTTCTCTCTTACAGTCACAGAGTAAATAGTATGCCAGTAGATATTATTGGTACTAGAGTAGCTTTAAACAAATGTTATAAGTAATGTTACTGCAACATCTAACTGCAATAGAGAATTGATTTCTTGTGTCTTGCAAAAGGGTACAAAGATTTGAATCTTGTAAGTACTTAGATAGCGTCTTCCTTTTAAGCTTATCTATTTAGTAGTCTATTCAGTTACTACCCCAATTCATCCCGTGGTTATCGTCAGAGCCGACTAAGGGCTCAAAACAACGCAGGACACCAGAACCTTGAAAAAAAAAGGAAAACTTGACACAAACCCCATACAATCCCCAATCCGTCTGGCCAGCGTGGTATAGTAGGCCAAAACCTCCTTTCTAAAGAGAGGCCTATGTCCAGCAGTGGACTATTAAAAGCTGTTGATGAACCGCTGTCATTCTTCGTTAGTCTGTTGGCACCATTAAAGCTGATTGAACACAATTTAAATTTTGACTAAAATGTTAATCATACATACTGTACCATGTTTGTTATTAGATAACAGAATTCTTCTTCAAAAATTGATTGTGCTGAGGTAATATGAATTAGACATTATACAAGAACGTTACGAAAAATACAGCCAGCCTGTATAACAATTAACTGAACACCAGTTTTACACCAAGACTGCGAATTAAAAATAAAGTGCCAAACAACAACAGTGTTGAAAGATAAACCAATAGTTAAGCTTTAGTTGAATCAAATATATATATATATATATATATATGTATTCATACCAGACTAGGTGGTATTCAGGAAGGACCGAGACAAAGGAGCAACCGACTAGACGCATTAAATAAAGTACCTCTGCCATAGTCGCGGGGTTTATTAAACTGAGAGGGGGATAGTTGGTTCCATTTGGCTCTAAAGCGAAATTGTATGAGCGTGTGATGGCCTTTTTAATACAACCTAAATTGTTATAAATATAACTAATAAAAATATACTTTCTGCTTTATTAAATGTCACAGATCTCGTGGCCTAAAATTTCTGTCACCCAAACCAAATTTGATTTGATTTTTTAAATGTTTATCATGTTACGTATATTATTTTGGTTGTATGTTTGATGCCTTATATTATTGCTCCTATAGGTTAATCTTGGTGATTAATAAAAAACTTAAAGCAACCCAGTTCCACCAGACAGCGAGTCCAGAGATGACAGTCATCGCTTCAAACAAAGAGCTAATTATAGAGCAGCAAGGTCAACAACCTTACGAATTCTCTTGGGTTCTCGACGCCCCTTTTACTGAACCGGGTATAAACAAACACGCCAAACACAAAAAAAATAGATCAGTGTTTGACAGCGTTGAACATTTTAAGTTATGAGTAAGTAAAATCCACTGGAATTGTTCTCCTACAAAAACATTAGTAGTCAATCACTTACAGCTAATAACCACAGGTTTTGATAGGTTTACAGTAACCAACTTCGCACAATCTTGTCAAATTAGACAGTTCAGCAAACTGTGATTCAGAATTTGCTGAATTGACTAATTTGTCAGAATTGCTCACTACCTAAACAAAGTAAATAACATGTATGACAAATAGAGTAATAGTAGTCAAACAGATTTATCTACTTTCAATAGATATTTTCGATCATTTACTTTCAAGATCTTGACCGTTTATGGTAATTTAATCATGTACATAAATTGCCATATTCGATTGTATATGACTCATGGAACAATGACGTCATAGTGAAATCGAGTAATAGACATTTAGGGCCTAAAGACGGTATCGATTATGTGTAGCGTACATATATGCAGTAGTAACACTCAATTGGACTTGCAATATCTAATCAAATCTAATCCATCCATCTAATCTGAAACTCATCTCAACATTCATCCAAAAATAGATCACACCTATTAATACATATTTTTATGATTGCTAACACGTGTCTTTACACCAATAAAGGGTAAAACGCTTTTATGTGATTACGTCATAGGTAAACAGGTATAAAATTTATTTAAGAACTAGAATGATGTAAAGGCTAAAATATACGAGGCGAAGGCCGCTGACCTACCGCAACCTGCCACACTGGACGCGTTTCTTATGTATGTCCGAGATTACCTTGTAATCTATACTATTAAACTGAAGTAGAACCGAAAATCAAAAACTAACTCGTTCACTTAAAGGGATGCAACCTACTTGTGTACAATAAAAATGCCAGTTTTCTCCAGAGCAAGCAATCTAAATGGAAATTTAAATCAACTTTTTCTTTATGGGACACAAAGACTATACCGATCCGTTTTATTGCATCAAGCTTCAACGAGACTATATTCACATTAAGTTATTTTATTGCTGTGATAAAGTACGCATCCATTGACGTAGTAATAATCTAACCAAAGTGTGCCAAACAGACTCAGTCATCGTGATAATTTACGCTTTCACTGTTGTTTATTATTCTGATTTTTTTGATAAACATTCTTTAATTTATTTTATAACATATACAAATTACCATACTGCCTCCATCTGCGTTCAGACAATCAGGTATTAATGGAGGCGTTCTCCATGTTCGAATCAAAATGCGACAGATATTGAACACACCGCGGTCGCTATAGTTACGCTCGGCGAAACCAACGAAAGTGGAACGAAATGCCGAAATAGAAGCAAGCAAAAATCACCGTTATTGAAAACTTGTTTCGCTATACGTGAACCGCTCACGTCTGCTTTGAATCGAACGTATTATTGCCAAACGTAAGTTATAAAAGCGTAATTCAGGCGTTTTATTTTTCCTGTTGGTCTAGTGGTCGTGACCCCAACAGCTAAGCCGGAGGAGCAGCTTCCACTTAGGAAAGTAATTATGTGATGAGCGCAATCATTTGTTCGGTGTCTAGGGGCATGTCTAGGCTTTTTTTTTATTTTTTAAAGACAACTACCGCACTAGGAATAAATCCTGTGTAGCGGGGGGACTTTACAAACATACATTAAATGGACACAAAGGACAACAATTTGTGGATCACACAAACTGTTGTCCCATGTGGGAATCGAACCCACAACACCCAGCGCAGTAG